TATATATATATATATATATATATATATATATATATAAGATGTCTGCGCTCTCCTTGACCGCCGTGAGGTCAATCTGGGAAAGGCCGAGAAACGCCGATGGAGACGAGAGGCCGCGATGTACCCCCAGGTCCGGCGAACGCCGAGGCGTCGCCCGCGGCGCAGCCACCAGCGCCCGAAACCCTAGCCGAAGCTCCTCGGAGGAGAGCCAGCGGTGCCAAGAGGAAAGCCCATACTCTGTCCTCTTTCGCCGGTACCTCCTTCTCCGCCCCCCCGAAGCGCCAGGCCAAGGAGAGGAACCTCCTCCACCATGTCTTCCCCGTTCACAACGGCCCCTGCACCAGAGCTCGGCAATCGCCTCACAAGGTCGCGGCCGCCGCCACTCATAAGCCTACCGATCATGTTGCGGTGCCCGCGTGGGCCACGGAGACTAAGGCAAAGGACGCCTCGGCCGACGGAGGACAGATCAAGGCGGAGGAAGAGGAGGTGTCTGAGGAGCCGCTCGTGGATGTGGAGTTTGAGGCCATTCGATCTCGAGGTGCCAGCGTTCATGCTGTCCCTACTCCTGCCGGTGAGCTCTCTGGCGAAATTTGGGATCTTGGAGACGTGTTCAGCTTATCCATTTGTTTTCCTGCTTGGCTATGCTTTCATTTTCCCCCCATAGGAAATTGTACTAGGGTTTGGATAGAATGATTATTGGTCTTCCTCTTCTTCCTGCAAAGCACGATTTTTATATTCATTTAGTCACCTTGGAGCAGGAGGATAGCTAACTTGATTTGGTAAAAAAAAAATCTATAATTGAGATCAAAATCCAATTGGAAACTGATCTCAATGTGCTGTTTATTAGGAAACTCTGGAAATTCCAGTATATACGTGAAATGATTCACGTTTGACCTGGTTCTTTATGTAGGATGGTTCTCATGGAATATAATTCATCCTGTGGAGAAGCATATGTTGCCTTCTTTTTTTGATGGGAAGTCTGAAAACTGGACATCTGAAGTGTACATGGAAATTCGGAATTCCATCATGAAGAAATTTCATTCCAACCCTCAGAAGCAGGTGGAACTCAAAGATTTCTCAGAGCTGTCTGTGGGAGATGCAAATGCGAGGAAAGAAGTCCTGGAATTCTTGGACCACTGGGGTCTGATCAATTTTCATCCTTTTCCACCATCCATACCCGAAGCAAGCAAATCTGATGCTGATGACACAGTTAAAACATCATCTTTGGTCGATAAGTTGTACCAATTTGAAACAATTCAGTCCTTTCTCCGAATTAAAGAAGAGCCCTTGGTACCTGCTGCACCACCTTGCTTGCTACCAGAGTCTGCCCTAACTGATGATTTGGTTAGGCCAGTTGGTCCTTCTGTTGAGTACCATTGCAACTCTTGCTCAGCTGATTGCTCTAGAAAGCGCTACCATTGCCAAAAGCAGGTTAGTTGGTCCTTCCACACCGATGACTTGTATTAAGTATTTATATTACTTTAACAGTGTTTGACGATGAAATCTTCTCTTGATGTGTCAAAATGCAGGGCCATGCATTGTATAATATTTATATTACTCTCTCAATTTCTTGATTGATGGTAATACACTCGACGGTCTTATAACACACCAAAGTGTACCTAGTCATTTTTAGCTTGTCCAAACCTTGAATTTGTTCTAATGAAACGCAAAATCATGATGTAGCATCTTATTGCACAAAGCATCTTATATAGTTGCAATAATTTCTGCCTTTTTTCCGTGTTACCCCTGATTATATATATATATATATATATATATATATATATATATATTGCACAAAGCATCTTATATAGTTGCAATAATTTCTGCAATAGTTGCAATGCAAAACAGCATTTATTTATTAAAACTTAAAGGAGATGTGTTGTTTCTTCTAATTTCTTTTCTCCCTTCTTTCGTAGCCCTGAAGAATTCATAAATTCAGTTTTTCCTGCTGCAACATGTAATTCTTGCTGTCTCTTTAAGTTTCATCCATATTTGCTCGGCTTTCCTAGCGATAAATATGTATTTAATCCTTGTGCAAGTATTTCTAGTGAGTGATGTGACTTATATGGGGATGTTTCTTTGTACATGGGAATGTTGTTCTATGATCTTATATACATAAACTAACAAAAATCATTTGTATTTACAAACGTACCACCTTCGAATCTTTTATGGTTTCTAAATTGGTTGAGCAATTGTTAATGTATCTCATTTAACACAGTTGTCAAATTGTATATTAACTCGAACAATTAACAAAGATCTTGGCTCATCAATTTTCTGCCAGACTTTGTTATAAACCAGTCTTAGCACCATGGTCCAGTTGCTAATTTGTGACATACGTGACCAAGGTTCAAGGCATAGATTGTGGGAGCAAGACTGTGTGTATTAGCCTGCCCAGATCTCAGATTGGCATGTTACTTGGGCATCAGCCACAATTTTTAGTCTTGGTTACATACTGAGAAGGCCTGTTGCAGCCTATTGAATGTGATCACATTCTGAGAAGGAGGCATTACTTGCTCATCAAAGGTCTTCCTTATGTTTAGAACATTTTTGCCTGCAATAAAAGTTGAACATGAGTGACCGAGTTGCTACTCTTAAACTATCTTGCCTTTTAGAGGCACAGGAACTTTTATGAGATCCAAGTCTTAGTTTTTCTTTTCCTATTGGCTTTATCCTGTCTGGTATTCTACAAAATAGTTGCATCGGTATATCTATAGGACACATGATGATTTTTTTTTAATCACAGGCAGATTTTGATTTGTGCATTGATTGCTACAACGAGGGGAAGTTTGGATCTGGCATGTTACCAGCTGATTTCATCCTTATGGAATCTGCAGAGGTTCCTGGTTTAAGTGGTGGGAGTTGGACAGATCAGGAAACTCTGCTTCTACTAGAAGCCTTGGAACTTTTTGGGGAGAACTGGAATGAGATTGCTGAACATGTTGCTACAAAAACCAAAGCCCAATGCATCTTACATTTTCTTCAAATGCCGATTGAGGATTCTTTCTTAGAAGGCGATGATGATGATAATGACAATAACCTGGATAGCAAGAATCAGACTTCATCAAATAAAGAATCAACAGCCACAAATACTTCTGAATTGATGGAATCTGACAAGAAAGAAGCAAAGGAGGATGAGGAACGCTCTCCTGCAGATGCTCTTGAGGCTGAAACAAAAAAATTTGAAAGTTCTGAAAATATAGATGAACGTATAACTTCCAAAACAGATCCTTTGGTGAATAAGAGTACTGATGACAAACATATTTTCCAAGAAAATGGGGCCAGTTTTGCTATTGATGCACTGAAGGCTGCATTTCAGGCTGTTGGATACTTTCCTGAACAAGGATTGGGTTCATTTGCAGAAGCAGGAAATCCAGTCATGGCACTTGTGAGTTCAAGTGCATTTTTTGCTGTGGAATATAATATAACCTCTTTATTAGTGCTTTTGGACGTTGACCCGTAAATAGTGTTCCCGTTGCAGGCAGCATTCTTATCAGGTGTTGTAGAATCTGATTCTCTTATCACCTCATGCCGCAGTTCCCTGAAAGCCATATCAGAGGATTCACCTGGCATCCAGCTTGCTACCAGGCATTGTTTTGTTCTTGAAGATCCCCCAACTGATAGTAAGGATCCATCTCTCTGTGTGAGGTATTCAGCTTGACTCATATTTGATCAAAGATTGATTTAACTTGGTAATGGCTGGCTGTTTGATTTGTGAAACAAAATGCAGTCCTGATATTGAAACAAGCAATGCGGGGATTCATAAGGATGAAAGCAAAATGTCAATTTTAGATACCACCGACAAATCAGAGGAGCAGAACAAGATTGCTGCCTCTACGGAGAATGATGGGAACTCATCCAGTTTGTTGCAAGATTCTTCACCAAAAGAAACTGATGTGGAAGAAGTAAATGATGCGACTCCAAAGAAGGCAGTGCTCGCCACTGTTCAGGAATCTGTTGATCAGTCTTTGTCTGGGGACCAGTGTATGGCTAGTAACGCGAAGGGTGTAACTGGTGCTTCTTTGCCTGTAGAACCTATGCCCAACGTTATGAAAGAAACTGAAGATTTAGCTTTTCAAGGTGAAGTTACAAAGAGTAAGAAGGCAAAGGAAGTTAGTTGTCCCAACTCAGTGGATCAGAAATCAAATAGTATGAGAAGTTCAGATGATCTAGCTTCAACAGACAGGGTCCAACAGCATGCAGATTCTACAAAGGCTGTAGATAAGATACGTACTTCAGTTATCTCAGAAGAACAAGTGCGCGTGCCAACAGGTGGTTCAATCGATGAAATTAAAGACAAAGCAGGTAAGAAATAGAAAATTTTCTTAAGAACCTGTGGAATCACAGTTTTCATTTGTTGGTATCTACTAATCCTTTCCCTACTTAATACTCTGGACTTATCTAGTTTTCATCTTAGATATATTTAATGTAAGTTGCCTGGTGAGATTTTCTCAGTATTGATATTGAAATGTCTTCACATACCATGTCTGTATTCTCATGCGTGATCAATAAAGTTTATGCCTTTTATTCTCGAGTGATGATACTGATTCCTCTGTTACATTAGGTTGCATTTTGCAACTATCTTTTTCATGCCTTTTATACAGTAACAATAGTATACTGTTATCATTTGGAATTTGCATCTAACAAGAGATTCACCATTCACCGTGTAGGTGGCTCTATTGCTGGTGACTATAGGTCCATCTGACCTGATGTGGAAAATACCTATCTGCAATTTTAGCAGTGTCACTCCAATATGTGATGCTTGTAATACCGGTTCGTTCATTGCACACCAACCGGTATTAACCTAATACTGGCCTAATCAAGTACTTGTATTGAAACCTATAGCTTAATATTGTTAGTTACGTGTATATATACCTTTTTTTTAGTCTTTTCTTATTTTATTCAATAATAGTTGGTATCTACTAATTTAGAAGAGAATTAAGATTAGTGATTTAAGATTTTTTTTCTTAAGTTCATTTGTTACAGTATGATGCTAAATTGCTCTTGCAAACTCAAATAAAAAATGTAGGTGTCATATTTATCTAATAAAAGGTCGACATTTAAGAAAAAAAACAATCTTATTGATATTTATTAGTAGAGAAGCAGCCGTGAAGTATCCCAAATCTCCTAAAACATCTGATCTTATTGATATTTATTATTCATTTGGATTCTTTAAAAAGTTATCTGATACGTATCGACAAAGTGTATCTATGAGCACTGGTTTCTGACACATCGGATACTAGTGGGGCAAGCAATTTGAAGTATTCTTGTACCGTAGTGTGGCTAAATAACTAGTTTGCTCTGTAAATAATTCCTGACAAACTATTTACCAACATCAACGCGTGACTAGTTTGTACTTCATAAGTGTCATTGGATCTAGGAAAAGAATTCTGCAGATTTTCCAATACCACTAGTCGGATGCTTTTGAAACAACCTCCAGTGGATCTTCTTCTTATCGATAGTTGGTTCTAGAAATCTGATACCTTTTGGTCGTGGTCTCTCTTTCTTGTCTACTAGAAATGATTAAAAGTTGTTGCTTAGCTGCATGGTTTAATCGGCTCAGTTAACCTCTGATTTAATGAGATGGTAATTTTCCATGTATCTTGCAGTTGAGGGTGAGAGAAAAGAGTCATGCAACAATGATGAGAAAATTTTCAACCCAACTGCAGTTGATGATGATCTTAAGATAGATAGGTTGAAACGTGCTGCAGTGACTGCACTCTCAGCTGCTGCTGTGAAGGCTAAGCTTCTTGCCAAGCTGGAAGAAGATGAAATTCGGAAACTCGTTTCTTTGATTATTGAAAAGCAGGTGATCAAGAGAACAACAATCAATACAACCTCTTCTTTAGAGTCTAGTTCTGTATCAACTGAATAATCAACACTAGTATGGAAAAGCATCTAACATATGATACTGCTTATGCATTTTTCATTTTAACGCGAGTTACTATGACATTGCTGTGTTTGACCTTGGCTATCCTGCAGTTGCATAAGTTGGAGGTGAAGTTGGCATTTCTCACCGACATAGAAAGTGTCGTCTTCAGGATGAGAGAACAAACAGAGAAAGCAAGACACAGACTTATGCTTGAGCGTTCACAGATAATTGCTGCTAGACTTGGTGCAGCACCCGCTTCCCTACACAGAGCCAACCCATCTTCCTTACCAATAAACAGATTAGCCATGGGATACAGCGCAACTGGTCTAAAGCCACTTAACATTGCATCGCGGAATCCACCACCTGTAAGGAGGCCATGAAGATGGGAATCTAGTTGCTTTTGTACTCCCTGGTATGTTGATCATTTTTTAAATTTCATTTGTATTTTTGGGGTAGAAATCATATGAGAAGCATAACACCGGTACTTTTTCTTTTTTTTTGCCTATTCCAATTGCATTACAAATTCCTCATCACGTCTAGCAGTTCTTTTCCTGCATTCCCATCATGTTAAACGGTTTACCTTCTAGTTTTGGCATATTCCCTAATCAGTCTTAGAAATTTTAGGTCTTGGCAACATTGTTGTAGAATTGTTGGATCATTGCAGCGGTTGGACCAAGCTGGTTTTCTGAACATGATTCATTTTCTTCTCGTCGGAGAACTGCTTTGTTTCTGATTTCATATCAACCAGGTTCATCTATTAATGTTGTATTCACCTAAAGGAAAGAAGATCTATTTATATCTGTAATCTGCCTGATCTTTACCTTGTAACCACCACTCGGTCAACGTTCACTAAGGTAAGACCATAAGAGGAATGATTGCTGCTATAACCATGATAGCCACAATATTCTGACTGCTGCTCCCCTCCACTGAAGTGGATAGTGAAAACATATACAGGTGTGATGCAAAATGAGAGAGTCAAACTGAAGAAAGGATCACAAGTATGTCTTCTCTCGAACGAATGTTTTCATGCATGTATTTGACTTCAGTCACTGTTCTCTCTATGTTTCTCTCCACAAGAAGCTAACGGCAGAGAAGTGCAGCAGATATAAAGTACCTTTAGCAGTTCTTTGTAGGTTGGTTTTGTTGAAGAAAGGCTTCTGATCAATTTGTTTTAGGATGATTTATGTTGTGGTGTTTGATGCATGTGAAGTGCAGATCATACGAGCCAGAGTTGCGTGTTTCATATGGAATGCGTGTTCTTTGCAAAAAGAAGATAATTCCTGCTGAACTATGTGAATTAGATGTTCGTATGTTCAACATTGGTTGAAATATTTGTGTATAAAATAAAATAGAGATAGACTAAGCGGATATGCATTTCTGAGGATAGTTGGATTATATAAATTATATAACTTAAACTTTTAAGCCAAATTGATGTAAAACTCTTTTTACTTTTTGTTTTCATGTGTTCATTAATAAAATTGATGACATTATGATAAATAGACTTATGTTATATATATATATATATA